CCCTTTCTTTCTCTGTGCTACAGATATGAGCTGTAACTTACAACTCTTATTTACATCATGTAAATAACAGGCATTACTACACACAAAAAGGGGGGGAACAAACGTCAAAAATAAAAGTGAATAAGTAGAATTCCCTTTCTTTCAAAACAAAATTTACCAATAGCGCCTTGAGATCCGGATTTTACACTATCTTGGATGTTGTTCGGATGTATAAAGTCGGCAATGTCCATTTATCTACTGTCAAATGGGTCGATTTTTCTCTTGTTTCTCATAAACCCCCTTCTCCTCTTTATTCCTTTCTGTCACACAAGCGAAGAATATTTTAGTCATCTGATAATGTTTAAATGATTCGAGTAAGTTCAATATTACTGCATTATTAATTTCACAAAGTGACATAAGTTAGTATCGTTTGTACATGCTAAATAACAAAATTATAATGGTGTGTTTCTTGTTCTTTTTTTTTTAATATTAAATACACAAAGTGACATAAGTTAGTATCGTTTGTACATGCTAAATAACAAAATTATAATGGTGTGTTTCTTGTGCTTTTTTTTTTAATATTAAATACAGAAGTATTTAAAAACAAAATAAAAAAAAAAAGGCATAGGCAATATTGGATATACCCTTGTGATTATAAAAACAAAAATAAGAAAAAGGCAGGCCAAAGTTCAAATGAAGTTTCTCTCAATTACGGCTTCTATGATCATTTTACTTATATCAATGTCCATTTTCAAAATACGCAGGTACCACACCCTTTAGTAGGAAGGACACTGATCCAGTATTTCCTTAAAACAATACTATGCCTGTTGTTTTTCACACTTTTCTGACAACTGTAGGCTTTGAGTATCTCCCAGCTCTTCATTTCTATCTTGCAAAATGCAAGATAGAAATGAAGAGCTGCAATATATCAAAAACCTAGCAGGGCAATTTGGGGTTAATATTAAGGCCAGCAAAACAATAACAGCAAAACAATATAATTATACCAATAAATAAANCATTTTTTTTAAAAATCTAAATAACTTATATATTTTTATTCTATATATATTTTAGTAGAAAAATTCAAAAAGTTGCCAAAGATAGTGATTGATGTGAAAAGAAATAGTCGTTATACTTTCATGAACCCTTCTATAAGGTGTTTACTATTGACAGATACAAGATTTGGGAATGGACGCAGGTGGCTACTTGCTTTTACTTTATCAACATAAAGAACGGGTTCGAAATGTATCACCACTTGTTGTTTTTTGATGTGCATGTAAATAAAATACAAAGAATTCTATTCTTTATTCAACAAGAGAATCCTTTCTTCAGATTTAACAGTTTCTATTAGGGACACAACAACAATGGTGTGTAGACTTGTCTAAAATTGTTTCATGGATTCGTTAATAATCTTCAGTAAATTCTTACGTTATAATAAGCATTTATACGTGTGATAATTAAAAATATTTTAAATTAATACTTAAAAGATTTGTAATTACTTATGAAATAGTAAACCGATTTGGCGTAAATTAAATAAAACATTGAATGGAAAAGAATTCATTATTTTATATTTTTAACAACAAAAACTTTGCTGAAGATAAGGAATCGCAAGGAATATACAATGTTTTCTTTATCACTCAGCTATATTGCAGAGCACATACACCTACTAAAGTGTCAAAAACCATCTCTTCCGTAAGAATAATTAAAACAACAACAACTTTTAAAATTCTTCTAACGTCTACAATCATTTAATTCCCATTATAATCTCGCAAAGTGTTTCTGCTCGGTTATAATACTACGGATAAAACCGGTTATTATATTGTCAGCGCAATTAAGCCAGGTTTAAACATCTGCAACATCCCATTGACTATCTCTACCACAGTTACGTACATACATTCAAGATGAGCGAATTAATTGATAAACTAGCGAAAGCTCGCAAACTAAACCTAGACAGTTATTATTACCTTATACAGTAAACTAAAACATGCATTGCACATTTAATGAGTCAGATCGTTGTAATCTAATGGATAAATTTTTAATGTCATATCTGTAAATTTGTTTTTAAGCCTTCAATTTTAGGATATTTAGAAGATAGGAAACACGGCTGTAGCTTTTATTACGGTCGTTTAGTCTTGGTTTACTCGATTATAACTGTAAATTTTAATATGAACTCTTGTAGTCGTTATTCATCTAAATTGACTATAACTACTACATCCAAACTGATTGAAAATTTGGAATTGTGGTTTCTGTCTTTACTACTCTTCAAATAATCACTAAATGATGAGATTCTATGAGAGAAAATGTATATGGGATTTATCTACATATACATAAACATATATATATATATATATATGCAGTATATGCGGGTCACCTCTCTTCTCTTGATAACAAATGCTTTTCAATTCGTGAATATAAAAATAACTTTCATCTCCATAAATTGAAAAATCCATGAAAAGTAAATAAGGGACTATGTTTGCCACAAACAAAAGATATTTTTATGTCAGGGGATAAAAACACGCGAATATAATTTTAGATTTTTCTTGGCGAATATCCAAATATCCTCATTCCGTATTCATGAAAGATATATCTCAAATAATGATGATAAAAATTGGAGTATACATATCTAAGATTTCTCGTTATCAAACTTTCATTCTACTTATTATNTAGTGATCTAGATGATTAACAGGCATTTAGTTTTTATTTTCTTTTTCTTTAAAATAATTATTTAAGATTAAAACTTTCTAAGTTAAAATAAAGTTTTTGTTAATTAAATTCCCGTTTAGTAACGAAATTAAGAAAATTTTACTAGAATCGTGTGAGTAAACACATTTAAATATTAGCATATAAACAAGTATACTTTATATTTATGCCTAGGGCCTTTTCAGATTTCAAAAGAGGTCCAAGCCTATTTTTATACATAAACAAATAAATTTAAAACTAAGTTGAAGTTTGTTATTTGATAAAAGAAAAAAGTATCACTTATAGGTTACAGCTTAGGACCGCAATGAGCCTAAATCCGATCTTTTCGAGGCCTCAGTATATTCAAATATATATTATTTTTTAGTAAATTTTGTTAATATAAAAATTATGAAATCTTTATTGCTTAATATATAAGAAATATAATAATAGAATGAAGCTCGGTAAATGTGAGGCCCCACTGGCTTTATCATAGAGTGAATCAGAAAAGCTCTATCCATGCTTTCATTCTTTGTTTAAAATGTTCATTTTTAAAAAAAAATTATTCTACTATATAATTCATCTTTTTATTCGTAATTGAAGTCTTATTGTTAAAAATGATTTTTAAAAATTTATTTTAGAAAATCCCTGTTTTATTCTTTGCTAAAAAAAAAAAGAAATAATAGTATTGATATAGCCTTTGATGAAATAACCATTTAGTTCATTGTTGAAGGAAAATCTTCAAATTTTAGTTCATCTCAAGAAGTAATTATCTTCAACAATGAGCTAAAAACGGATTATTTTCTACTATGAATCAAAAAATAATCATTTATTTCAGTTTATCGCCGAAAAAAATTAAATATAATTGATCATTATTCGTCACTTATAATATTTCTTTACAGTTTTTCTACAGCTGAATTTTAAATTGGTCATTCTATACAGTTAAAAAAAATATATACAAAAATTCAGAAGTAAGAGTACAAAAACAAAAAAAAAATTTAAGGATTTTTATAACCGTAAATTGAGCTTATCTGAGCAATATGATAATAAAATACAGTAACTACTTGAAAGAAATCAAGAAATTCAACTTTCTTTTCCATGATCAATTTTAANTTATGGTGGCTTCTCGAATATCATCAGAATAAACACGTCAAACAAAAGCCCTTCTAATTAGTAGGACCTCTAGTGATTTGTTAACAAGCTTCTTTATTAAAACTGTATAATTACTTTATCGTAATGATGCGGATAAGAAAATTTTCTAGTATTAAAAAAGTTGTTAATATAATTATTCGGTTTATCTCTTAATAGTTGATTGTATATTTAACAAAATTTTAATTCTTTATAACCAAAACAGTATTTACATTTTTGTTCATTTTATTATATGATTTTATTACTGAATAAACGTAAATTTTAATAATAATTGAATTGTTTGGGTAGTTGCTTCAATAAATTTAATATTAATGTATTTAAAGCGACGTGTGAATTAGTTTAAAATAATACCAATAGATGGCGATTTTTGATTACCCCTGTACCCGAAATTTTTAAATTTTTTTCTTTGTCAAGATTTTTTAAATACGAGGAAAAATAAATATATTAAATTCGAAAATATTATTCTTAAAGTAGCCTATATAAAATTCATACTGAATTATAATCATAAAATTTGCAAAAAACAAGGAATTTCTGCATACACTTAGCTGTTATTGCTGTACTTCTTACAATTGATGTTAATAGATAATAAGTAATGAAATTATAAATACAGCCGACAACAAAAAATTACTATACTTTTCCACCTTTCAATATGGAATTTTCATATAAAAATTTAAATATTGAAAATTTAATGAGTTTCAATTCCTTACCAAAACATTTTACGCCCATTTTAGTTCATTACAAATTTAAATCTTAAGGGAACAACACGCCGAGGATCTTAGAAACTTAGTTGTAAAGTATTGAACAGTTATCGATTCCTTCACCTTAATATCACTAAGTGCAGATATTCGAGAATATAAATGTTTGCCAGATACATTTTTTTTACTTCTAACTTGAAAAAACTTTCCAGCTACAATATCACTTTCTATGTTTTCGAAATAAATACAGAGAAAATGGCCTTTTGGTAAATCCAATAGATCCAAAAGCCTCTATTCAGTAAGGAACTGAACTATGTTTGAAACCCTGTAAAAGCGTTTACGATCGAGCCAAATGGCCAACTCTGACCTTTCCATAAATATTAAGTTGGCACATAAAACTAAAAACGAAAAAAATAAAATAAAAGACTAGTAGAAGAATATAAAAAGAAAAAAAATGTATAATATTCTAGCATAAAATAATTCCTTTTCTATGTTCTTCTCCAGCGGTCTACGATGTTACATGTTCCTCCAAAGTAATGAAAATCACCATTTACATCAACGTTACAGAAACGACAATATATCTAGAAAGGTTAAAAGGTTATTACGGTATGTAACTATTAATTCTTGCGGTTTATTTTCTCTTCTGGAACTTGTTAAATAATTTATTAACTGAATTTATATCTTCAGGTTGCAAACCGGAAATTCAAAACGATCGTGCCACCTTTACTCTTTCTCTGGACGATATTTATAGTTGCGGTACGACTAAAATTTTAAATAAAGTTACGGTAAGTTTAATTTAATTATTATAAAAATAATTCTTCCACGCTCGAATTTCTTTCAATTTTTTCCTTTTTTTTTATAGGGGCAAAAGATATATTATCATAGAATTATATTAGAACATTCGAACGAAGATAAAGAAGTAATTCTGGTTAGATGTGTCATTCCTGGTGATCAAAATAAGAGAAGGATAAGAAATGAAAGGAACACTTTGCCTGAAGACTTCTCGGAACCTACGTTAGTGATGAGCTATATAAAATTAATTTTACAGTTTAATTTTATATATTTTACATTTATTCTTAGTAATTCATTGGTTTGTGAGGTTTGGTATTAAAATAAAATATTAAATATTTAAAATATTTATTACATAAATAATAAAATGGCTTATTAATAACGCATCACGAATTAACTATCGATATTTTCAATATTTATTAACTATGTACGTAAATTTATATCAGAAACATCAACATAACCGATTACATAGAAGCATACGCTGCTGTACCTTATTTAAATTTGGCATTAAGACAAAATGGAAAGTTTCTGGACACGACTCTACACGTTCAACCTGGAACATCTTTAGAAATGCTTGTATATTTAGACAAGAAAAGTTCAGGTAATTAGATAAGTTTTTATTGATTTTTTTACTATATTTTTACATTTAAAAAATCTTGTTTACAGATATATATGGCTTGCTAACAACTTATTTAAAGGTAACGGATAGTACACCTCAGCAGGAAGAAATCATTATAATGAATGGGTAACTTAAAAATTCTTTTACTTTTCATCTCTTCTACTCGGCATTATTATTCACTAGATGTTTTCTCGCAGATGTTCGATAGATCCTTATATATTCGGAAATTTTCAAACAAACGATAATGGAAACACTCTTTTCGCAAAATTCCGAGCATTCAAGTTTCCAGATTCCAATTATGTACTTTTTGTAGGAACCGTCAATGTGTGTTTGCAGAAATGCAAAGAGGTTAGACGTATATACAGTATAGTAATATAAAAGAAGAGGAAAACAAATTTTAACTTTAGATATGTGTACATAAAATGCTATTTTAGATAACGTTTAGATATTCTTCCTACTATTCTAGGTGCCTTGCGGAAATAACCAATACGGTTATGGCAGAAAAAAGAGAGAAATACCAGCAGAACTCCCTCAAGATCCAAATCGTGTGTTTGAAGTGGAAATGACCGCTTTTCTAAGGGTTGAACATTACCAAGATCATTTCACTTTAAAAAAAGGTTAGAGATATATTTAATCATTACCCCTGTACCCGAAATTTTTAAATTTTTTTCTTTGTCAAGATTTTTTAAATACGAGGAAAAATAAATATATTAAATTCGAAAATATTATTCTTAAAGTAGCCTATATAAAATTCATACTGAATTATAATCATAAAATTTGCAAAAAACAAGGAATTTCTGCATACACTTAGCTGTTATTGCTGTACTTCTTACAATTGATGTTAATAGATAATAAGTAATGAAATTATAAATACAGCCGACAACAAAAAATTACTGTACTTTTCCACCTTTCAATATGGAATTTTCATATAAAAATTTAAATATTGAAAATTTAATGAGTTTCAATTCCTTACCAAAACATTTTACGCCCATTTTAGTTCATTACAAATTTAAATCTTAAGGGAACAACACGCCGAGGATCTTAGAAACTTAGTTGTAAAGTATTGAACAGTTATCGATTCCTTCACCTTAATATCACTAAGTGCAGATATTCGAGAATATAAATGTTTGCCAGATACATTTTTTTTACTTCTAACTTGAAAAAACTTTCCAGCTACAATATCACTTTCTATGTTTTCGAAATAAATACAGAGAAAATGGCCTTTTGGTAAATCCAATAGATCCAAAAGCCTCTATTCAGTAAGGAACTGAACTATGTTTGAAACCCTGTAAAAGCGTTTACGATCGAGCCAAATGGCCAACTCTGACCTTTCCATAAATATTAAGTTGGCACATAAAACTAAAAACGAAAAAAATAAAATAAAAGACTAGTAGAAGAATATAAAAAGAAAAAAAATGTATAATATTCTAGCATAAAATAATTCCTTTTCTATGTTCTTCTCCAGCGGTCTACGATGTTACATGTTCCTCCAAAGTAATGAAAATCACCATTTACATCAACGTTACAGAAACGACAATATATCTAGAAAGGTTAAAAGGTTATTACGGTATGTAACTATTAATTCTTGCGGTTTATTTTCTCTTCTGGAACTTGTTAAATAATTTATTAACTGAATTTATATCTTCAGGTTGCAAACCGGAAATTCAAAACGATCGTGCCACCTTTACTCTTTCTCTGGACGATATTTATAGTTGCGGTACAACTAAAATTTTAAATAAAGTTACGGTAAGTTTAATTTAATTATTATANTTTGTCACAAATAATTCATTCGATTGAATTAATTTGAAAACTTTATATATTTTTTACATAATAAATTTTATTGATTTTTTAATATACTGAGATCTCAAAAGGCTAAGTGGCCAAGGCCTCTTTCCAACTATTCGTAATTTTTTTTAAATTTCTATTTTCTAGTAGACCATTTCAAAGTATAATATGGTATATTAAGGCTTTCTGCTGGTGATGATTAAAAAAAAACCATGTATAACACTCAAAAAATAAATTATTTTTATATATGAGTGTACTGTATTGTATTAAAATTTATTTATTTCAATTCTAACTTTTGCTTTATAAAGAGAATAAAAAGTTATTCCTTTATAATAATAATAATAATAATAATAATCTATATTTGGATTATTATTATTAACTTTAAAGCTTAACCAATTTATATCTTCCACTTGATAAAACAGGAAGAATAGATAATTAATGAAATTCAATGTCATCAGAAAAGCTAAATAGAATTTTCAATTAAGTGACACTTCAAATAAACTTTTATTAACCAACAATTCTTTTATTATTAGATAATTATCATCTTTATAAATCGAGTATTATTATATGAGATATCAAAGTAGAATGCAACGCAGTGGAAAGGATCTTCTTTACTTACCTCATTCACTAATTTCCAGAATTCTCCTAAGAGAATCTTTGGCACTCGAGAGTGAACATAATAAAGACACTCAACAAATGCTTTGTTATTATGGTGGCTTCTCGAATATCATCAGAATAAACACGTCAAACAAAAGCCCTTCTAATTAGTAGGACCTCTAGTGATTTGTTAACAAGCTTCTTTATTAAAACTGTATAATTACTTTATCGTAATGATGCGGATAAGAAAATTTTCTAGTATTAAAAAAGTTGTTAATATAATTATTCGGTTTATCTCTTAATAGTTGATTGTATATTTAACAAAATTTTAATTCTTTATAACCAAAACAGTATTTATATTTTTGTTCATTTTATTATATGATTTTATTACTGAATAAACGTAAATTTTAATAATAATTGAATTGTTTGGGTAGTTGCTTCAATAAATTTAATATTAATGTATTTAAAGCGACGTGTGAATTAGTTTAAAATAATACCAATAGATGGCGATTTTTGATTACCCCTGTACCCGAAANTCCTCTGTAACTTCGTCTTAAGTAATTTTCCTATTCGAATGCCACAATCTTTCTGGTCGTATAGAAATGGCACAAAGGTTAAAGTTAATTCGTTTAAAAATATCGGTTGACCTCCCTGAGAAATTTTCTTTGCATTTGCTCAAACCGTGTAAAGAACAAACTAATTAAGTTTCTTCTTTAGATATTAGACAATTTCATATTTCCTCTTTCTAATTTTTCATTTTACTATTAAAATAAAACATTTATATAAATTTAATTTATAAAACATCTCGCAAATCACATTTAATAAAGTTTTTCCCGGTTCGTTGACAAGGTCGATAGTTTAAGGCTCTCTTCTCGAGTCAAGAATCGCTTTTCAAGGTTAATTAATTAATTAAACGCTTTAATTATAAGTTCTCGCCTGAAATTTCGTCCACTGTAATTAAGATTCATGCCGACATTTTTCGGGACCAATGACCGATGACGTTGCATTTTAATGACTTTTAAGAGTTAGTTTCACCCCCATCTTGACTCTATACATTTTATATGTATTTACATAACTTCATTGTAGAATTTATTCAGATTCAAGCGAAATGCCACTCGAGGGATGCGAGAGAAGCGAAGTGTTCATCAAAGAAGTAAGACGAAGTGTTCTTCCATGTCGAACATTAAAAATAATGTAATAAATAAATTTAATTAATATGTTATTTTTCAAAAAGTTTTCTTAAATAACACAATAAAATATTGAACAATATTAAATGTGGTATGCCTTGTACTTAGCCATTTTATCCATATTTTTCTGTTTTATCAGACAGACAGACAGATATTTGTTTTTGTTTAATTATCGATAAAAATCTGTTATTGTTCATGGAAAATAAAGAACGATTTAATGACCCGTCACCTAGCAATAATATAGTGTCTATCTTTAACATAATGCTTACGTATCATTCACAATTGTACAAATATAATTACCTGTACAATAAACAGTACCTTATAAGTACATTTTCTAACTTAATATAGACGTCGAGGGAAGTTCTACGTGTGTAGAGGGGTGATCTATGACCATTCGTTATGTCAAAACAATTAATGGTCGCTTGCTACAGGTGAATATTTCTTGTGGAACCGTGACAGTTCTTTGTTCCACTCATGATTTGATTACCTAATGTTTCCTGTAAGGGTCAGATACTAAAAAAAAGTAGACGAGAGAGAACTATCTATTTAAGAAAATTGATATTCAGGACTCGAAATTGGGACTCTGGATCGCTTGAATTCTATCCACGTCTATGATTCAACTTCATTATGATATTCAAGAACAAAAATCCTTAAAGCAAGTTGTACAACTGTTAATTATATTATCAGTTTTAACAGTATATAATTTACATAAATAATAAAATGGCTTATTAATAACGCATCACGAATTAACTATCGATATTTTCAATATTTATTAACTATGTACGTAAATTTATATCAGAAACATCAACATAACCGATTACATAGAAGCATACGCTGCTGTACCTTATTTAAATTTGGCATTAAGACAAAATGGAAAGTTTCTGGACACGACTCTACACGTTCAACCTGGAACATCTTTAGAAATGCTTGTATATTTAGACAAGAAAAGTTCAGGTAATTAGATAAGTTTTTATTGATTTTTTTACTATATTTTTACATTTAAAAAATCTTGTTTACAGATATATATGGCTTGCTAACAACTTATTTAAAGGTAACGGATAGTACACCTCAGCAGGAAGAAATCATTATAATGAATGGGTAACTTAAAAATTCTTTTACTTTTCATCTCTTCTACTCGGCATTATTATTCACTAGATGTTTTCTCGCAGATGTTCGATAGATCCTTATATATTCGGAAATTTTCAAACAAACGATAATGGAAACACTCTTTTCGCAAAATTCCGAGCATTCAAGTTTCCAGATTCCAATTATGTACTTTTTGTAGGAACCGTCAATGTGTGTTTGCAGAAATGCAAAGAGGTTAGACGTATATACAGTATAGTAATATAAAAGAAGAGGAAAACAAATTTTAACTTTAGATATGTGTACATAAAATGCTATTTTAGATAACGTTTAGATATTCTTCCTACTATTCTAGGTGCCTTGCGGAAATAACCAATACGGTTATGGCAGAAAAAAGAGAGAAATACCAGCAGAACTCCCTCAAGATCCAAATCGTGTGTTTGAAGTGGAAATGACCGCTTTTCTAAGGGTTGAACATTACCAAGATCATTTCACTTTAAAAAAAGGTTAGAGATATATTTAATCTAATAAAAAAATCTCTAAATTATTAATAATTTAGAAATTTTTTGTTGGTTTTTTTTAGAATCCATGTCGGGAGAATACGAAGACACGCTGTCCAATCATTTAACTCAATCTCTAAATTCAGCAGGACTTTTATCGCCCACATTACTCTTTCTGATGACGACAATGGTGTTTTTCAATTACTAACGTAATTTATCGGCGAAAATAACTCAAAAAATATACCGAACTTTTCGCCGATCCGACCAAAAGTGTATGCAATCATCCACACTACATAGTACATTTCGATAAAAGTGGGAAAGAAGTGATAAATCTGCTATTAAAAAAAAAATGGAAGAAAAAAAGTCATCGCTCCAAGGGCAGCTTTCATATATATACATACATATATATAAAGACTTTTTATCTTCTCATATTGATTATTGAGTGGTTTCATACAAAAAAAATCATATTTAACTTACATGTTGTACAGAAAAATAATTTGCTCATATTAAATTATTTTCGTTAATATAATTTGTTTAATAGAATGAATATTTAATTGAATTTCATCATCAGCCAGACCTGTATTTGAAAGTATCAACAGTTTCACTCAAATTATTACCATTTTCTTCTATTAACGGGGTTAAGTTTATGGATGTGAAACGGTTCTTTTCTTTTGCTACACATTTCAAAAGTCATTTCTATTTTATCCATTTAAAAAAAAAATCTTAAAAGACTTCATTTTCATGATGAAATCGTTAAAGTTTTATGACTGGATTTTGATCAGCGTTATTGGTGAACTTCTTTACGAAACTAACAGAATAAAGCTCAAAAGAGGTTGAGAAAACAGGGTAAAAATCTCATTATTTAAACTTCGTTTCTAATAATTTTACTTAATAAATGGACTGAAATTTTTGAAAAAATTAAATTTTATAGATAGAGAATATATACGACTATTTTTCTAGAATGCCGAAGAGAATTTATGAATTATCATGTAAAAAAATTTTGCCAGAAAGTATTGAAATGGAGTCGTTATCTTCGTATAATTTTGAAATTTATCGAAAAAATGGAAGTGTAAAACAACAGAAAATAAGCACTTTTCTAGGGTTATTTTTATCGAAAATAGAAAACTGTCAACGCTAAGATGACTTACACAACTTCTCTCAATATCTTTTACTCGGGAATTGCTACAAAAGTCGTTTTCGGACAGTTGTCAAATTGGTATTTTTATGGTGGATTTTATAGTCTATCGGAAAGAACATCATAAGATATACAAAGAATATATCACAAAGATAACAGATTCATACAAAGAGAAACTCTTTTAATAAATTAACAATATCTTTTCAATCAATTTTTTAGACTAATGTAGAATCATATTCCACATTTTCTCTAATGTAAAAAAAAATAAAGATGCATAGGAACATCTAAAAAAATAAAAAATGCTCTCGTATATATACACGAGTCATTGATTTTAAAAGCTAATGTATAAGATAGAGAATGGTTATAGCAAATGACATGTCATTGCCATCCAGTGAATGCGGACAGGACAAATCGCTATAACTGATGTAATGCTATATCCACGTCATTTTCTCCACTAAACCATTACTTGGAATATCTTTTTACTGATTGAATTTGGAAAAGAGAAATTTCTCCAATTCGATTACTTTTAATCGACTTAAAATATATAATTTTTAATAAGTTAAAACAAGAAAACTTGTTATCAAATTTTACGTTATTTTTTCCACTGTGAAGTACTCTTAATAAAATATATTTTCCCCTAAATAATATAATTTTTACAGAATTTTATTAAGTTCTAATCAACCAGAATTTTGTACAAAAAATGTTTAAAAAATGTTTTTTTACAAAAGATATGTTTATAACATAAACATTAGAGCAATTTAATTAAGGGATGCAGCTGTACTAATGTATAAATTTATACTGAACAAATGGTATATGCTGGAGTGACAACATTAGAAAAAACTTTAATATCATGAAAATTTAAATGAGAATAATCAATATTTAAAAAATGTTTTTTTACAAAAGATATGTTTATAACATAAACATTAGAGCAATTTAATTAAGGAATGCAGCTGTACTAATGTATAAACTTATACTAAACAAATGGAAATATCGAGAATTTGCTAAAAATATTAAAAAATATTGCATTGATATTAACTTTTAAATATAATTTTATAGACAAATAAATAAATAAATATTGATTTTTTTATTGTCTGAAGATATTTTCTTCAGATCTAATCGTTAATATCAGAATTATTATTATTATAATATATATATATATNACATAATTTACATTCACGTAATAATTTTCGTATCTATTATGATTCTTGATAGATTTAACAATTGCCGTTCTCTTAATAAAATTTCCCAAGGACATTTTAGAGTCACTTTCTTAATAACCGAGACTTATCGTTGACATTTTTATAGATGGCAAACATCTCTTGCCTTTTCTCCAACTTCTACTTTGTAAAGAATGTAAACCTTTAAAAGTTGAAAATGTAGCGGATGATGTCTACACTTTATAAAATATTTGGCTTGTTTCCAATAATATACAGTGTTGATAAAGCCGTCTTCTTTAGTCCGACTGTCCTTCTGACGTTTTATCTTCTTTTCTTTGAATGACATCAGAAGGACATGACAACTCAGTCGTGCGAAAGAAGAGCGGAAAATTGCTCGATCTTATTCCTTTTTTTTTATTTTTTATTTTTAACCTCATCCCAAATGCATTTTTAAATAGGAAAACTTTCTTAGAAAATGGAAAAAATATATTTTTTTACTAGTAAAACTAAACTAATTATGACACTTCTTAAATGGTCAATCTTAATAACCAAAAGAAATAAACTAGTAAAAGAACGAAACCATTTTAATTAAAGGTCTAAACTAATAACCATATCTTAGAGAATATTAACTCATTTATCATTCTTGACAAATTTCGATTCATTTTTTAAAACTTAATTATTATAATTATACTGTATATCTAACAAAATCAATAACTTGTAATCTTCTAATCAACGTTGACAGCTTGAAAGTTCTTTTAAAAGAAATATTAAAATCGATTAATAAGTCAAATTTTTTTTCTTCTTACATTAAAAGTTTATCAGCAATTAGTTATAAAAGAATATTATAAAAAAATCCTGTTTATAAAAGATGGATGGCATCTAATCATCTTTTACTAAAGTGAAAATGAAGTTTACTCTCTTCCTAATATGGAAACAAAGTAATAAATTGGTATAGTAACAATAGTAATAATAATAATAATATGAACTACATTTTTAAAAATCTAATGTAGCTTACCTTTCTTAATAATAAATCGTTGGAAATTTTCCTTTCTGGGATTCAGTTCCAGTCTTGTTGTCTACTTCATAAACCAGAAACAGACTTTTATCTTTTCTATTATCCTTCAGTCTAGTCAGGATATCAACCTGCTGGGAATGACAAATCCTCTTTGGTATTGGCTGCAAATGTTTCTTGTTCTTTAAATTAGTCTTCTTCCTGGAATTTTTATATTTTCTAAAATGTATTCTATTCATACAACTTAAAAGAAATACTGTATATATATAAATTTCTTTTATCCTTTAAATTTTATTACATTATACTAAAGAGATCCTATAATTCTTTTAAATAATAACAAATGTTTACACATTTTAAATATATTATTATTGATATATATATATATATNAATATTTGCTAAATATCATTATTTCTCACTTACACCGGCAAATGTCGACATTCAGCATGCACTGATAGTGAATGTTGAATAAAAGTATTTTTATTACGTTAAGACAAAAATGCAACTTTTTAATACGTCAAAATAGGAGAAAGCTTAAGTAACAGCAACTGTTGAACCTAAAACGAATAGTACATTCTAAATCATTAATTTAAAGAAAGTAATACAATAATAAACTTACACATAAATTATGTGATTAACGTTATAAATCTAATTTATTGCAACAACTTAAACTGTTATGGCACTTTGAATTGCACAAGAGTCCCTTGCTTATACAACTGCATTTATTCGTGGAACACTTCTTTTTGCAATGACAGCGTGTATAGCATTGCCCTCCACTTTTTGAATTAGCTACAGCTGCTTCTCTCAGTGATATTTCTTGAGAATATCATCTATGGAAAGTAACTTTTCTTTACAAATTACGAACTCATTACCAGTATAGAGCTGCTTCAGGGTACCATTTTTGTTTGCTAATTTATAAAAGTCAGAGTCTTCTATTCCAAGAACAACCGCCAACGCATTTCGGGCACATGTACAGTACGGCCACGGTCGACATCAGGGACTTGTATTCGTACGGTATCACCAATTTGAACAGAAGGAAATGGTGAAGAATTTGGCGACAGACTGTCGCTTCTCTGTCGACATCGGCTTCTCGGCTGTCGTTTCGACCTTCACCAAAGCTTATCTGTGTTTGTCGACATACACCGGCGATTATTCGAATGTATAATAATAAAACCAAATATTCAGTCTTACACCGACGTATTTTGTATGTGTCGACATTCACCGGAGAATATCGACATTCTGTAATTTCGGTCTTTCACAGTAACATATATATATATATATAAACATTTTTTAAAGGAAAACTGTCAAAGACAAATTTGTAAGAGATTTTTTTATTATTATTGTTTATTCTTATAAACTTGACTTTGAATCTTTTTTACTGACTTAGCAATAAACAATCACATAATTTACATTCACGTAATAATTTTCGTATCTATTATAATTCTTGGTAGATTTAACAATTGCCGTTCTCTTAATAAAATTTCCCAAGGACATTTTAGAGTCACTTTCTTAATAACCGAGACTTATCGTTGACATTTTTATAGATGGCAAACATCTCTTGCCTTTTCTCCAACTTCTACTTTGTAAAGAATGTAAACCTTTAAAAGTTGAAAATGTAGCGGATGATGTCTACACTTTATAAAATATTTGGCTTGTTTCCAATAATATACAGTGTTGATAAAGCCGTCTTCTTTAGTCCGACTGTCCTTCTGACGTTTTATCTTCTTTTCTTTGAATGACATCAGAAGGACATGACAACTCAGTCGTGCGAAAGAAGAGCGGAAAATTGCTCGATCTTATTCCTTTTTTTTTATTTTTTATTTTTAACCTCATCCCAAATGCATTTTTAAATAGGAAAACTTTCTTAGAAAATGGAAAAAATATATTTTTTTACTAGTAAAACTAAACTAATTATGACACTCCTTAAATGGTCAATCTTAATAACCAAAAGAAATAAACTAGTAAAAGAACGAAACCATTTTAATTAAAGGTCTAAACTAATAACCATATCTTAGAGAATATTAACTCATTTATCATTCTTGACAAATTTCGATTCATTTTTTAAAACTTAATTATTATAATTATACTGTATATCTAACAAAATCAATAACTTGTAATCTTCTAATCAACGTTGACAGCTTGAAAGTTCTTTTAAAAGAAATATTAAAATCGATTAATAAGTCAAATTTTTTTTCTTCTTACATTAAAAGTTTATCAGCAATTAGTTATAAAAGAATATTATAAAAAAATCCTGTTTATAAAAGATGGATGGCATCTAATCATCTTTTACTAAAGTGAAAATGAAGTTTACTCTCTTCCTAATATGGAAACAAAGTAATAAATTGGTATAGTAACAATAGTAATAATAATAATAATATGAACTACATTTTTAAAAATCTAATGTAGCTTACCTTTCTTAATAATAAATCGTTGGAAATTTTCCTTTCTGGGATTCAGTTCCAGTCTTGTTGTCTACTTCATAAACCAGAAACAGACTTTTATCTTTTCTATTATCCTTCAGTCTAGTCAGGATATCAACCTGCTGGGAATGACAAATCCTCTTTGGTATTGGCTGCAAATGTTTCTTGTTCTTTAAATTAGTCTTCTTCCTGGAATTTTTATATTTTCTAAAATGTATTCTATTCATACAACTTAAAAGAAATACTGTATATATATAAATTTCTTTTATCCTTTAAATTTTATTACATTATACTAAAGAGATCCTATAATTCTTTTAAATAATAACAAATGTTTACACATTTTAAATATATTATTATTGATATATATATATATATATATTTATTTTAAATATATTTAACAATGAAATTCCAGTAAAAACATGTTATTAAATATTTATTAAAAATGATAAAGCTTTCTAATTAAATATTGCTAAAAGAATATCAGTTTATAAAATGTCAAAGAATGAAACAAGTAATTAAAATTTGTTAAAAACTATTTCAGAATATATTTAATATATATATAACTCATGCTGCAAAAAAAATTAAGCATGTCTATTTTTAATTTTTCTTCAGGATATTATAAATATCAAGTGTTTGATATATACAAAAAGCATACCCAGTTTATATTATATAAGCATTACATTAAAAAAATATGTCTGATAAACAAAATTTTTTATATAATTTAGAAGATAAATTTTCTAAATTTTTAAATATTTTTATACATATTTAACATTGAACATATATCTTAAATTATAAAGTTAGTTAAATATTAGAGTAGATGCAAAATAAATTCTATTGATCTTTATGATAGATAGAAAAATATTATGTATTTGTAAGAATAAATAATATTTTCTCAAATTAAAAAGAAAATCTAAATACTGTTTTTCAATGTTATCCATTCTTTTAACTTAAAATGTTGAATTAAATTCTTTTAGTTTAAATTTTAAACACTTTATGTGGACCTTGTATTTTCTATTAAAATTTTATTTTAAAAAATTACACAAGAAATCTAAAAATAGATCTAAAAATTTGATAAATATAGAGACTTAATACAAGATGATTAGGAAATTGAAGAAATATTCTATCTGAATTATCATCAAGTTTTGTTTCTATATATTTGAAAAAAATATATATAAAAGATTTAGAATTTAAATATTCAAAGTTTAAATTTTAATGTCTTTAAAGTTCTCAATATACAAACATTAGCTATAATTTAAAATCTTTTTTCTTTGTATTTCTAAACTTATATAAGGATGAATGCATAATTTAAATATTTAACAATGAATTAACTATGATAGATACATGTTTACTAATAATTTGCAAGACAAACTTTAATGGAATTGATTAATGAAATGAGTAAAAACAGATAAAAATATTGGAATTCATTCACTTAGAATATTTAAATTCTCTTAATTATCTGAATTCTTAAGAGAAAACTATAGTTTAATTTATCAAGTAAATATAAAATAAACTTATGTTTAATGACTAAAATTATACATTTTATTTTAAATTTTACTAAAATTTTTAAATATTTAGTTTTTAGTTGATATAACATTAATAGTCATTATATTATATTATTATTCAACAAATATTAATTAACATTAAATTTAATTAAATATTGAATTCTTGGAACTCTAAAAATGCTAATGGATAATTAATATTTTATAGAACTTGCTTTTAACAGCAAAATAGATTCAATTATAGAAATGTATGGTATCAAATTACTCTGCTTTAAAATATTTGTATGTAGAATATAATATTGTAATTATATAGAATTTAATAATAAAATATTTATAGTACGTTTAACTGCTTTATAACAATATCGTATATTTTGAAATAATAATAATTACTGTAATGGATTTTAACAATAAGATATAAACATCAGATCACTCTAATATCATCAATTAATATTTATTCTGCATAATTTAATCTTTTATTTAAAAATTCTATTTAATTTGTGAGTTTCTAAACCAAAATAATTTGAATATTTAAAATATTTTCATTTAAAAATAAATAATAAATACAGTACAACACAATATTCCTACAATAGGGTTTCGTTCTAACAGGGAGACATCTTCGTACAAATCGTCACAATTTTTAAGTGCAAACACCACCATTCGATATACATATAATTCTTTTTATTGAAGCAAGCATGAATAGTCTCATATTTGAAAATTTCAATATTCTAACATCCATGGGCAATGTTGTTTCGTGCCTTTCGCTAGGTTTTCTTCAATGAGAACGGATTATACAATATTTCTTCTTCGTGTTCCTAGGTTCCTATTCTAGCTTTTTTATAAACCAGATGTAGCTATCGTTGGTGACAGTGCTTTTCAACCGCCGAAAAATATTTTACCGTATGGGTGACATTTAAATAGTAATCTAACTCCAGATAAGCATATATAAGCTTAATAAATAAGCATAATTCATAGTCACATATAATTACTTAATCCACGCAATCAGAAAAAGGTTGAAAAACATTGCTCTAAATCAATGTTTCTCAACCTCTAACGAATCGTCGCCCCCTTCGACGTAGTATCGCCCCTTCAATAAAACCGTAGTATCGCCCCCTTCACTACAAAATTCCGATGCCGAGGGACAAGGCTAACGCCAAATTCGTACTGCATGGAATAGACTAGTGACTAGTATAATGTTATTTGTTTAATTATTGTACGATATAACGAATAAAATATCTAATTATTCTTAATATAAAGTTTTACTTTATCGCCCAGAAAATTGTTTTTCGCCCCCAAAATATAACTTGTTGCTAATCGCCCCCTGAACATGGAAAAACGCCCACATGGGGGCGATATCGCCCCCGTTGAGAAACGCTGCTCTAATTGAACCCGAAAGACTGTCGCTGTGCTTTGTTTTTATAAATTAAATCAAAAGTAACTACATGAAAAGATTAAATTTTTAAAGATAGGAAAACGCAAGCAAACGAAAATATCAAAAGATAAACTTTATGAAAAATTGTAGAGAAATCAAGACGTTGCTGATAATTTAGATTAAGGTCAACAGGAAAGCTGGATGACGACATTTTGCAAAAAAGGAAAACGACCTCGTTCAATGGTTTTTAGCAGTGAAGAAAAAATTAATATTAACGTGCAATACTTTTGATTGTAACTGTTAGTTAATTATTGCTTTAATAAACATATATCTCTTAATTTCGAAAAAGAATAGTATACTTTTGCTAACTTTTGGAACATAACCCAATACTTTGTATTAGTCTTTTGTTTGGTATAGCACGGATTCGCATAACACAGCACTTTTTNCGACTAACTACAGAGTTCGGTGGTTTTATGCACTCTGCTACTGGAGAGCACTTAATAGAATTAAGAAGATACCGTTCAGAAATGAAAAAAACCCAAGTTGTTAAATGTGGAAAATTAAATACAGTGGTACCTCGGTATACGTCTGCTTTAGAATACGTCCATAGTATACTTTTGCTAACTTTTGGAACATAACCCAATACTTTGTATTAGTCTTTTGTTTGGTATAGCACGGATTCGCATAACACAGCACTTTTTTGAAACTTGATTACCGTGTTATAAGGGTCTGTACTTATTGTTAATCATACGTATTTGTTTTAAATATACATTTAATAAATACTGATACTTTGAAACACTTTTATGAAGACAGGAATTTACAATTAATTTTAAGGAAAAATGATTTAATGGAGTAATATAGAATACAGAAGAGTTTCAACTCCCTTCTGTAATCTATATTGTTCCTTTAAAGCTGTCTTTTTATAATTTTATTATATTATTAGCAGCTAAACCCGGCGTTGCCCAGGCAAAAAATGAGAACAAACATTATTAATTTTTTCGTACTTCTACCCCTTATATTATATTACAGTATAGTATTTGATTCATATAACAACAAAGGTTATCTTACGTAAGGGTTTATCTAACACATTTTAAAAATTCTTCATTCCTCTACTATACACAGTTTAAAGAATTTTTAAAATGTGTTAGATAAACACTTACGTAAGATAACCTTTGTTGTTATATAAATTAAATACAGTAGAACCTCGAAAACTCGGCTCTCGATAACCCGGCACTCCGGATAACTCGGCCACACCCTGGCAAAGCAAAAACATCCTTAGTTAATTAATTTTCATTATAGACAGCTTTATAAAAGTATAAATCTCTCATAAAGTATTTTTCTGAGGTCTGTCTTATCAGGTAAATTACTGTACACAGTGTATTCATTAATTTTCATTTTCATGTAGTAAAGGCTCTATGCCTTCATAAAGAACGTACTTTTCCTTTGTTTAAGGATATTTGGGCAGTTTATTCTCTGTTATATTCTCAAGTAAACAATACATACAAGCACAGTACAGTATTTTCTGAGGAAACACTCGTACTTATTTTTTTAACCCCATTCCCGATAACCCGGCATTTTCACAAACTCGGCCACCCTTCGGTCCACATTAGGCCGAGTTTTCGAGGTTCTACTGTACTATAATATAATAAACATTAATAAGAAAACCATAATTGTTTGGTTATTTCAGCCTACCATTGTCACGTTTATCGCGATACGAAATGGCACAATTTCATTCGTCAAGTAGATACCATTTTTTATAATGTTAGCTCTAACAAATTGTTCCATTCACAGCCGAATATCAAATGGTAATCTGCCAACGAATCAAATTTTGAGAAAAATGGACCAAATATTTAAATTCGGAACCCTCGAAAACCACTTAAATCGTATTTTGTGCTGGCTGATAATCTTGTATTATATAACTTTGCTATTCGAATGCCACCATACCGTTGGTTCGATAGAAAGAAGGGAGTGTTTCGAAAAAGGGAGTTGAAGTAATTCGACTAAAAGTAGGCGTTGACTTCCTCGTGGAAGAGAGGATGGTCAACCACAACTCATTAATACTGGTGTTCTATTGAAATTTGAAAAGTGATCCGTGTTAGACAGGTTGTGATGGCCCCCCATATGATTGAAATTGTAACCTTAACATCCGAAAGACTTCACATAAAACTTGTTTAAATAAAAAATAATCTTGTAAAAATGCTAGAATAATCGCTTTCATGTGATAAGTGTTTAAATTTGGCAACAGATTGTATAAACTACGCGGGAAGTATGTTCTCGTAAATACTGCGTTTATATAAAAATTATTTGGATGAAATTTGAAA